CCTACACATTGCTATTTTATGAATATAGAACTATATATCTTCTTTCAAGAATTGAAGGATAGATTCCAAGGTAAGGTTTGTCTTTTTTGTTGAGAAAATATATTCTCATTTCTAATAAACTGTCATTCTCACAACAATACATAAAATGGAATTGTGGTTGAAAATTTTTCCCACTTTAAATAATGCCCTCTTTCAATATATTGTACTACTTAAAAGAGAAAAAAAGTTGTGAGTACATTACCTTCTGAAGTGTTTTTGTCACTTATTTTGAGATCATACTTACATCTTTTCAAAAACTAACAGGAGTTACTTTTTATACTAAGTGATTTGCTTTAAAACAATTTTCTTTTCTGGTTTTGGGAAGCAACAGATACTGAGATTTTTGAATCTTTCCAAGTAGTTTTTTTCTTACTTTTGAGGGAAGAGAGGGAAGCCTTGGGAGACAAGTTGACCAAAGTAAAGCCATTTGGGTTTTAGGCTAACCCCTACTCTATAAGGCAGCAGGTCATAAAAAGAGTCACAAAATCTGAATCATGGAAGACCACAAGACCCCAGTCCCAAGGAATGGAGCCTACCAACTGAGCCAGCAGCCAGAGCCAGGCGGGTGCCCCTATGGTCAGCTAATTTAAAAAACAAAAACAAAACAAAGAACCTAACAAAACCCTTTTTAGAGGCAAAGGGAAAATCCCTCTTCTTCACCTGGGAAGAGAGACTGCTACTTTGTCTATGAAGTAGCTCCTTTCTTACTTTAATCCTTGCAAAATCTTGCCCCCTTTCTCTGAATGACTTGCTCTTGAATTCTTTCTTGCCCAAAGCCAAGAACCCTCTTGGTGAAAGGCCCAAGGCCCTCCCTCTTGGAGCCTTGGATAGTGTGACATCACTTTGTAGTGACGGCCTTCTCGCTCTACTCTAATTTTTCTTTCTTTCCTTCAGTGGAATCTCTGCCTCCTACATTTTCTCTTTCCCTTCTTTCTTCCCTCCCTCCCTTCCTTCCTTCCTCACTTTTTCTCTCTATTTTTCCAAAGAAGGTTTTTTAAAAGGAGGCAGTCACAAAGTCCTGACTCTGTTAAGGGCTGTTAATAACTTCTGGTAAAACTCTGGGACTATTTAAAGGCAACTTGTAGCTTTTTACTTGTATTTGAGATGAAGAATAGTGCATGTCCTCTTGAATTCAATGCCAGGCTCATGGCTAGGTAACTAAATTTTTGAAAATCCTAACCTTTGTCAGGAGACCATAGATCAATGTAAAGGACCTCGGGGAAATTGAGCTTTGATAATCTTCACTCTGAACACACAATGTGGGAGGGAATAAAAATGTTCTTCACCATGTCAAAGAACAGAAGTCCATCACCCTACTTTTTGAGAGTCTAGCATGGTTAGAGGTCAAAACAGGAAGTGCCATTGTTTAGAGGCAGAAACATGAAAGTTCTGTTCTTAAAAACACCTTCAACCTTCTTCCCCATGAGGACATTTTGAATGCAGGAACTCTGGGTGGGACCATATGGCTTCCTGTATTCTTCTTAATCAAAGTGTTAAAGTTTGTTTTTGTTTTAAAATGCAGTTAAAAGAAAGAGATTTTGCCGTGTCAGAAGAGAACAACATCTAGTTCCTTTTAGATTTTTATGAGCATCTGTGATCATTTGTCATACGTGGCTAAAAAATGACCAGTACTGATGAAATGCCATTTTATTTTTAGAGAAAAGCTTCAGCACACTTTCCCAAAATAATAATAAAAAAAAAAAAATCTCTGCTTCTTTCTGGGGACATTTTGTCCATGCCTAAATGTAGATGCATACACTTTTATGTTAAAAAACATCTTTTTACCTAAATATACTGATGGCCAAAGACTTACATGCTATATGGTCTCTGGAACTGATGATATAGAATTCCACTTTCTAGGTTTCTTGTGCACAGATACTAATAAGTCATTCTTAAGACACTTGTTGGCTTGAGGTAGTATTTTAAAGAAAGAGAAAAATGTTATAAACCTAAAAAATGAGGGAGAAGCCAGAAAACAAATAATATGGTAAGTAGATACCTAGGTCTTTAACCTTCCATTTCTAACCTTTCAAGTTTTCTCCAACCCATGTTTGATGACAAATGAATATTCTAGAAGAAAACTAGTCGTTCAAAATAAGGATAGGAATCATTTTCTATAGGTAGAATGAATCCAAATAACTTTTTTTCTCTTTTCCTAATGAAATAAGACCATTTCAAACAAGGATATACTGGTATATTGAGGGAATATTTTCAGCCCAAATTCTTCTTTTTTTTTTAATAAGATTTTATTTATTTATTTAACAGACAGAGAGCACAAGCAGGCAGAGAGAGAGGAGGAAGCAGGCTCCCAGCTGAGCAGAGAGCCTGATGCGGGACTGATCCCAGGACCCTGAGATCATGACCTGAGCCGCTTAACCCACTGAACCACCCAGGCGCCCCCAGCCCAAATTCTTAATTAGAAGCTTATCTTTATTGTTAAGCTGTCGTCATCATACCAAAAATGCAACTTACTACAGTAACAGAATAAAAGACAAAATCCTCAGATAATAGACCAGGAAATTAGAGTAAAACTCCTCTCTACACACCCGGATCCAGTTAAAGACTTGACAGAGAACACCATTTTGTGTGTTCCTCATCGTGGTCTTAAATATATTTGAGTTTGGAGTTCCTTACTTATTGATTTCTGCATACAATCTGTGGAAAAAGAAGTTTTCTGTCTTCCCTATTAAAGAATATGAAATGACAGGGCATCTGGATGCCTCAGTGGGTTAAGCCACTAGCTTCAGCTCAGGTCATGATCCCAGAGTCCGGGGATGGGGTCCCGCATCAGGCTCCCAGCTATGCGGGGAGTCTACTTCTCCCTCTGATCTTCTCCCCTCTCATGCTCTCTCTCACTCTCTCTCAAATAAATGAATAAAGTCTTTAAAAAAAAAATAAAGAATATGAAATGACTGGCCATAATGAAAAGTGAGAAGCATTTTGCAAAATTATTGATTAAGTCTAAGAATAGGTGGGATTGTACTCATCTCCTAATCCAGTCATCCCGTAGGTCTTTATTTATTTATTTATTTTTCCTACTAGCAGAGTGTACAAGGAAAGTTATGGGACCAGAATGAAACTTTCTAGAGGTCTCTTTATTCCACACATGTAATTGTAACAGAATGTGCTTGAGAATCCATTTCTCATCTGCAGAAACCAAGGGAAACAGCAAGAATTAGCAGAGTAGAAGATGGGAAAGTGATCCTCCCAGGGTCTTAATGTTTCAGAGTATAATATGATCACGGGGCTATTCAGTTTAGCTTCCTACCTTTTCACTCTCCAGGGTCATGGTATTTCTGTTTTGTTTTACAAGGTGAGTTGGAAATTTAATGGGTTTTATTTATGCAGTTGGAATTTTGTAATAGAGGGTAAATTAAAAGGAAGTAAGACTTGATTACAGGATCAAAGTTCTATTTGAAAACTATGGGGTTCTTACAGGAAGAAACCAGAAAGTCTTAAAAAGCTGTACACTGAAAAACTATTTTACAGTTTACAAAACACTTTTATGTAAAATTATTTCATTTACACATACAATGAGGGAGCTCCGGGGTCTACTAGCAGAGCTGTGACAGTAACTGTGCACCTCTTTGTGTCATCTAAGACTCTTTGCATTTTCTCTTTTTCTTTCTCCCACTCTCCTTCTCTCCTTCTACCCCCTACCCACAGTGACTGATTCTGAATCTCATTATATGGATGCTTAACAACACAAGGAACTAAAAACTTTTTGAGGGCAAATTTAGTGTCCTATTTATTTTTGCATCTCTAGTATCTAATCCAACATAGGTATTCAGCTAATATTTGTTGAATGAATGAATATAATAAAGTAAAAGGACAAATTGAAAACTGAACTGTCTTTCCAGAAAGTAAATAAGTGAGAATAGAAAATTAATACTATGGATTTTAGATAATTATTTAGAATATCAAGTACTAGATTAGATGCTATCTATCGTATGATCTGTCCTCTATCTTGTTAGTCTCACTCCAAATAATCATTTTATCATCTGTCATTATTTACAAATTTTCAGGTCATTAACTCATAATTAAAATTGAGAAAAATTTGTCTTGTTTTACTGACAGCATAGAAGTTAGATGCCATTCTTCAGTAACATAAGGTTGTTCGGAATACAACAAGTAAAAGTGGTCATTGACAATTATTTCTCAATAAAACTGGGGGAAAACTGGTCATCATTATCTGTCACATTTGGGAAAGTATAAGACTGTAACCATTAACTCTTATTCTATTTATGGCAGTTTTCTTTGTTTATCATTGTTATATTTCCTTTATAAATTTCACAGGATCGTTTTTATATTATTTCATCAGTCTGGCTTATCCGTGAGTAGATTTCAACTGGCAACTGACCACGCTTAGATGAAACAAGATTTCATACATATATTTTGTTCTGCCTGCGTGTCTAGGTAAAGATCCTGCGTGTGTTGAGCTTTATTTTATTTCTGCAAAGTCTCTCTAAGTAAACATTTGTGTGTGTGACTTGGAAGAAAATTGAGAGGAAGAACTAATTTATTATTGATTTAAGACTCAGAATCATTGAGGTCCCATCCTAGCAAGAATCTCAAAGAATATACACATTTTACAAAACCAAACCCATAAAGCAAATAAAAATGAAACAGCCAGTATCCAATTTAGATTCTCTAGATCTATATACCAAAGACGAAAATACAGAAAAAATGGCCCACGCTGTAATTTTGCCAACTTAGTTAACTACTGTTAAGAAACACTACACGATGCCATCTAGTGACAGGTGACCAACATGATGAGTCACATAGAAATGATGGGGTGAGGAGGTGAATTTCCCAGGGTTTGTATGTAAAGAGAAAATCCTTCTGAGAGAATTACATTGGATAGATTAGTTTTATTTCTCTGGGTACAGGGAGTGAACAAAAATTTATCAGAGAGCGGCAGCGTGGGGATTTTTATTTTGAAAGACTGCATTGCCACCTACCTCCAAGTCTGTACCTCCACCTCCTCCTGCCGCGGGCTTCACCATCCAGTCCGCAACCGAGCTCAGAACTGGTGAGTGTCCTCAAGTCGCAGCCCCCCGTAGAGTGACAGGTGGTGGAGGTGGAGCACTTTAGAAACCAGTCTCCAAAAAAAAAAAAAAAAAAAAACAACTTCAAAAAATGGAACCAAGATGATTCCTAAAACAATCTGTACCCAATTAAAAATAACAACAACAATAATAAATAAACTGCTGGAAGTTCAAAGAGTAAAACTAAAATAAGGATCAGAGGAAATCATCTTTGTTTTTCTCAGTCAATGACTGTGCAGACCTGATGCTGTCTTATTCCTTGTACCAAAGCCTCACGGAAAATGCCAGAGACCTCTCCCTAAATGGCTGTAGCATTATGCCCTAAGGGAAATAATTTTCTCCAACATTTCTCATCTTTTGTAAACAGATGGCATAGGGTGGGGTTTTTTTTGTTTTTTTTTTTTTTTAAACGAAAGACCAACAATCTGTCAACTGTGGAATTCTCATAGTCCAATAGTTTCTTTTTGGTTAATTTTTCACAACTAGATTAACCAGTGCTGCTACCATAGATACATTTAAGAAAATGAGACACTTCCTCCCCGTGTTCATGTAGATCCGATTAAAGCTCAATAGCACTCTCAGTTGCCTCAGGAAAATATCAAGTTAAAAACCCTTGTGAAATGAAAAGAAAAGCTTATCAAAATCTCCAGCTTCAAGTGCATCTAGTTGTTTTCTTTTTATTGTTGCCTACATGCTGTGATTGGAGCACAATGTGTGGAAATTGCATAACCATTATTTCCACAAATCAAAGCTATTGGGAAATGGGAAGGCCCGCGCAGGAGCTGCTACATGAAATGTTGATTAAAAAAAAATTCTGCCTTTATGTCTAAATCTTCCCTTCTTTCTTTCAACTCTTGCTTAGTTTTAACCATCACTGGGCTTTCTTTTGTTTTTTAACTAAAATCGGAATTAGCTACGGGCCAAATAACATTTTTTGAAAAGTGCTGTCTCTCTGTTTCTTGTATTTTTCTTTTGTTCAACTTCATTTTATTATTTTTGATATCTGGACTAGTCTAGGCAAAAGGTTCTGAATTCAAGTATTGGAACCACCAAGATAAACCTCGGTGCAATTTCCATGCCTGGAATGGGGGGAGGGGAGTTTCGGTGCCCTCAGCCCAATCCACTCCATGTTGGGAATGAGGGTGTTAAAAGAGTCCTTTTTTTCTACTTCTTTCACATTTAAAATAATAATCAGTTAGGTGGTCATTTGGGTCAAAGTGAGCCTGAACCCATTATTAGCGAGTGAAGCAAAACACGTCTCATTTGTCTCATTTCAGCTCTCTGTTCCCCTTGTCCAGCAGAATTTTGGTTGCACTACTCTGGTTGATGCCCGCACACTTCTTTCCTTAGAGACACAGGTATTGCTGAGAACTTAAGAATTTCCCTTTCCCAGTGAATACATCAGATTTAGGCTGGGGATGGGACGGGGACCTTTAAAACCTTTCTGGAAATCCAGAGGCATAAATTGTACTTTATTTAAGAGGAAAACACACTGCTGTTGGGAGAAGTTTTACTGAGGTATTCTGTTAGCCCTGCCCATTTTCAAGTCATTTTGAGGAAGTAATAGTCTGCACAAAAGGCACAATTTTAGCGATGCATTGACAGTTTCCAACACCTGGGATATAATGAGCATAAATATCTATTTAGCTTTCTAGATTATGATCAAAGATTGTTTTTTTCTGTAATATTTCTCTTTGAAGTAGTATTTTGGTGTTTTTAAAAGCAAATTCCAGAGAGTATAAGGTTAAAATGTGAGTAATGCAAACATCTATGGTCAGTCACACAGCCTAATTTTGAACCAAGCTTTTCTTTTATCTTTACATTTGGGGCCTTTCCCCCCCCCCCCCCATCCTTTTCACCCCTGGTATTTTTCTGGTTAGAGAAGTATATAATTGCCTTTCTGCCCACATTCCCTTCTAAAAGAATCTGTTCCCACCCACAAACCCTGCTGAACAGATGGGCCTAGTCATCCATGGTTATATCAAATGACCCTACTCCTCTGGCTCTAGGAGATGAGGACCACTGTGTGGAGACCCACTATGCAAGTCAATCTATGGGTTAGGCCAAGCCAATTATATCTGAGACTTTTGAACCAAAGCACAGAAATCACAGGTGGATGACGGGAATTGGATTTGCAGAGTCACCGGTATTTGGCTTGAGAGTTGTCCTATGGTGAACCTCGGCCTTGTGTAAACCAAATTTATGAGGGAAACCAAGGTGTATCTTGAGCCAGCCCAAGAGAGCAACACAGAAGAAACATGCAGGGAGGAGTAACAAGAGCTCTAGTTGATATTTGTGAGGTCCCGACTCACCATCCTGGCCTCTTTCTACTTTCTAAGTAAACATCATCTTTCTCAGCATGGTTTGGGTTGGATCGCCTCGCTCCAGGGCTAATTGCTGACTGGCTTAAGACATTGTCCTCCAGATAGGGACAATGAGGTTGAAGTTTGGGGAAAAGAAGTTTGCGGGTAAGAAAACTGCTCTCTAACTCATGGGAGTTAGCCCAAAAGTACTTTCTGCTTTTGTAGGTAAGAACTAGGAAGCTTTGGTTGTTTCTGACTACCTCCTTGAGACCACTAGAAGACATGAGGATTAGATGAAAACAACATCATGGAAGACAGAGTACAGCAATGAAAAAAAAAGTAGGTCTTTGTTTATATTATAGAGCCATTGGTTTTTTACTTTTCTTTTCTTTTTTAATTTTAAGTAAGCTCTGTACCCAACATGGGGCTTAAACTCATGACCCCGAGATCAAGAGTTGCATGCCCAACCGACTGAGCCAACCAGGTGCCCTTAGAGCCATAGGTATTTTTAAAGCCTGCCCAATTTTTTTCTTTCTTGGCCATATGAACAATATATACCCATAATTCTTTAAATTGTTTGGTTGTATTTTTTTCATTGATAACTCAAATCTTCAATTTGAGAGAGACTAATGATTTTCTAGGTTTCAGAAAACCCAGCAGTCCCTTGAATTTCACCAGTCCCTAAGGAGAGCTGTCCTTAGCATCATTTTCTCCATTGTGTTTTGCCTGGTTCTGCATCATTTAGCAAAGTGCGTGGTACATACCAGCCGCATCATCCCCACCTCTCTCTTTCAGTGATTTTTTCTGCATATGATCTTTGAAAGTAGCGCATTTCAAGGAAGCATCTGATATTTAACTTGTGTAAAGTGGTCTTGGAGAAGATAAAAGACACTTTCTACTGAAATGAGGAAGGAAGAGGCTAGTCAACTTCTTCAAGGCTGGGAAAAGTAAGTGACAGAGGGCCATGAAAACAGACCACATGACACATACTCTTACTATCTGTATTTTATCAACGTCTTCATTCCTATCTTGGTAAGACTTTGTCTTCCACATTTGAAATGAAAATAGACAGAAAAAAAGATTATATTTTCCCAGAGTCTGAATCAAGGGGTGGGTCTGAAACTTTGGTGCATTACCTCACTTAATCCTGACAGTTCTGCCTGGCAGGGATCATCAGTTCCACCATGTGAATGGAGAAAATGAGGAAGAAAGATTAATTAACTTGTCCGTGATAGTAAGTGACAGAGTTGATAGATACTGGAATTAGAAAATTCACTACTACTTTATGATAATTATCAAATTGTGATTAATTTATGAACTTTCTGGCCTTGCCAGGTCTGGAGCTCTTGCTAAAAGGATACCATGGCAATATAAAATATCTCTGGAAAAATTATAAGAAGCTGGTAGCAGTGGTTCCCTCCAGGGATGCTAACTGGGTAACTGGGAAGTATTTATTTTCCACTGCCCAATATTTTGTGCCTTTGGCATTTGAACCATATGCTTATCTTACTTTATCCTAAAAAAGTGATTTATTTTGAAAAAAAAATCATATCATGACAATTTTTTATCTGATAAAATGACAGGTTTGGATTAGATGACTTGGAGATCCCTTCTATCTCTAAAATTACATTGTTGTGTAGTTCCAGAAGAGGTCTTCCAGTTTTCGAGAATCCAGAGATTCCTGCCCTGAATGTTCTCACAAACCACTGGAACGGCCTGCAAGGATCTTAAAAAGATATTTTTGACAGTATCTATGCTTAAAAAATAATCAGATACGCTGAATTATGTTTTGGAAGTTAACCTTTAGATTCAGATTAGGCCAAGTGTCTCTAGGGCCCAATAATACCTGAAGGAACCTGCCAGTATTTTCACTTGAAAAAATAACTTTGTTGTGATTAACACCGAACTACCTGAGGAGTGGAGAGAAGAGCAGTTAGGAGTCCAGCAATTAATCACCCCAGATATCTCCCGTGGGTGAGGACAAGCTGAAGGCAAGCATGCTTAGCACATTTTATTTTCTAAGGAACACAGCAGGCATCTTGTAAAATCACTAGGATAGGCCCCACAACCAAAACAAAAGAGGACAAAGAAAATTCATGTACACAGGCACTGGCAATCTGCCTTCATTCTCTAATGGCAAACCCTACCGGAGACAGGAACCCTTTGGAGCTGAACTTGTCTCTTCTTACCAAAGACAGTTTGGTATGTGACTGTGCGTTTGTGTCAACTAAATGCTTCACGTTTATGAAATCTTCCAAGGGTCCCATCCCAAATGAATGTCATCATAAGGAGCTTTTTGGTCAAACATGGCACCATATTTCAGTACACCGACTTAAAGTACTGGTGTTTTTGAGTGGTCTGAAACAATAAAAACAACAAAAAACCTTTTCTTGCATCAAAATTAACATAAATATGAGCCACACGGCAAAGCTCCACTGTTCTTACTTAGCATTGGAGTTAGTCACATCTAGTTTGCTGCTATAGAAAGCAAATCAGTTCTGCTAATTACAGCCCACAGTATTTTGCACATCATTTTTCTGAACTCCTTCTATCTATTTTAGTAGCTGAAATGCTAAAAAATTCTGCCCCAGAACTTGTTTCTGGAAAAGTCTGTGCTCTGCCTTTGATCTCTGCTCCTGGCTCACAAGTCATTCTTGGTAGAAGTTATAAGGCAAGAGAGGGAATTTTTATTTATGGAATTTTGTATTACTTTTTTCTGTTCACCATACTGCAT